AGTCCTAAGAATTCTACATAAACCATGAAAATTCTAGTTATTTTAGAGGTTATTTAAAATGAGTAACTAGGAGTAAATGGGAATTTGCGAAGTTCCATACTTCCTAACCGAATAGTTGAGTAAGTTCCCCTTTTGTTAAAATTTTACACTTCTCAAATATAATAACCTATGTAAATGAATTCATCTCTTCACTCCCTTTTATGCCCACGGAAGATGAAAACCAAAAAGAACTGATGAAACCAATTGGATTTGATGATGGAACAGAATGGGTTATGGTTGACTCTGAAGAAAGAAAATAGGAAAAGAGATTCGAGGAATATAGATGGGATATCCTGAATATCAATGAAATAATGCGAGATAAACTCGGAACGCTAAATTCTGCTGAAAGAGACAATTTCTATAAAGAAGCACCAATTATTGTTTCAAGATTAAAAGAAGAAACTCAGACATTCAAAGATGCTCGTTATGTGATTGAGGAAATATTGGAGAGAGAAAAAAAGAAGGAGAATCTAAAGGAAAAGGATATTTATGAAATATTTGAATTGTTTGTTCTGGTAGATTTTGAAAGACAAACTTCGGGAGAAAACGAGGCTTTCTCATATCTTAAAAGTCTCGAGGAGATTTGGATAAAAGGAGAAACTAGACTTAGTAGCTGAAGATAAAGTTACTCAAAAAGAAAGACAAGGGAAAAAATGCTGATTGCTCTGTATCCTAACCCTAGTCTTCATGACTCCACAATTTCCCAAGTTTTTATTTTACTAGTCTAATTTGTAAACTCTATCCATCTTTATGCCACTTATTTTTTTTCTTTTCCTCAAAAGAATAAAGTATTTTGTTCAATAGCTTTTTATTCTTGAAATGTTTACAAAAGCTGCTATAAGACATACTTTCTGCCGACTCTCAGTAATACATGCAATTTTCTGATGAACACGCACAAATAAGAGAAATCAGATTTTCACCAAAAGAGGAATTGGAATCAAACTTTTATAATCTCCAGAAACATTTCCAAACTTATTCTAAAGGATTAAACATGGCCATGTTTAATGTGTCCAAACCTATGCTCCTAAAATTAGTTTTAGTTTTTCCAATATGTTCTCTCACTTTTAAACGGATTTTTGTTTCTTTTTCGTTCTATAGATATTCCTTTATTAGTCAAATAAATTTATTATTCTCATTGATATGTTATTACTAAACGCAGAGAAAAAGAAAAGTTGTTAAATTCACAAATGTAGAAGTAATGATGAGAAAAAAAAGAAAGAGTACCAATAAAGGAAGGAAACCCGTAAATAGAAGGAAACAATAACAGGAGAACGGGTGTATTCATAAAAATGGTAAAAATATGAGAAAAATTGAGTGCTGAGCTGTGTTCTTGGGAATTGGAGGTGAAAATGGGGAAAGTCTTCCCCAAAATGGTATCTTTCCTTTGCGGTTACGGTAGCTTTGCTTACCTTTTGAGCACTGTAATATACTTTGTGATCAAATCTTGTAAGCACCATCTTTCTAGCAAGCCGATCTCTTCGTTTTTCTTGCAACAACGACTCGAGGACCCCAGAAAGGATCTATTTACAAGATTTGATCACAATGTACACAGTGAAAAAGTACCACCAGAGCCGGGCAGTTTTTGAAGATCAAAACGAATGTGTCTTAACAATCAGCAAATTGCAGATGGGAGGAGTTGAGGGATGAATGGAGGAGACAGAACGAATGATCAATGATGGAGATGGAGGGGGAGAAGCCCATTAAAATGGAGGAATTGAGGACATTGAAGAGGGAGTTGACGGGACAAGACACTCACGATCCTCGTCGCCTTGATCGGAGAGGCCGGAGGAAAGCTTCGAGACGATTACCTACAAACGGGAATCGTTGATGGCAAAATTGTGGCAACTGCAGTTTATATACCCTATTTGTTCGAAAAGATGACCAATTCGGAGAAAAGTAACCTTGTAGTACCATTTTTTCCGTACTACCGTAGCCTCGTAGTCTGCTTTTATTGCCTCAAATAGCCGGGGTGTTACTTCAGATTCCATAGTTGAGTGGTCTAAGGCGCGCAGGCCAATCTGAGTCTAATAGGGTTAATTAGGTACTTTGCTTTGCTTTCGTTCTATCAACTTTAGCTAGCTAGTGGCATTTGGTATGGCGAGTGAAAAAGTGAGAGATAAAGCCTTCCTTGTTCAAGACCTCGACTCTTTTCAAACGCAGCCCAATAATATTTTTTTTGTTGACTCGACCAATCCTATCTTGCAATATAACTTGAAAAATTCTATTTTGGCTCTTTGTTCATTTTGATTATTTAACAACGGCTCTTCGAAATGTCTTCATTAATAAGGGCATTGAGTTAAAAGCCTAACTCGAAAAGTTAATACATAAATATTCAAATCAAAGGACCAGCCAGATAAGGGCATCTATATAGCAGAGAGTCTTTTTAGGCTTGTATATTTTTAGTCATTTACCTATACGCTTAAATCTATCCATATTGTAGTTAGGAGAAGCTAATTTCGAATATTTAGCTCTGGTTGTGTATATCTGAATGATTGAGCTTCCAATTAGAAAGTCCCGCTATAAAATGAAATATGTACACCAGTAAAGGGCCCATTTTAAACTTTCAGTACTCAAGTTTGGAGTGTATTGGAGCGGCAGGTAGATTGTGTTTCTCGAATGCTCGTTTCAACTCTCTGATATTGATTGTGGTGTTGGTCACTCCAGTGGGTGCCACCTACTCGCTCGAAGCAAGGAAGTCCCGATTGGGGGGATGTGAGGAAAGCGTTGGAAAATGTGCGTTTTTTGGATTACTTGCATACTTTTAAAGAATTTCTACTTTTCTTTTCTTTTCCATTTTAGAATAGCTTTCATGTTTTGTAAGAGAAATAGCTTTTTAGGTAATTTTCAGGCAAAGAGACCGACCTCGTCTACTACCATTGCTGCCACGGCGGTATCAAAAAGCTAGAAATTTGCAAGAGAATAAAGTTTAATTCTCGATTGCTGTGCGCATTTCTAGCCGTTGCCGTACATTGCTTTGTGAATTATCGGAGCATCGCTCATCACTTTTTGCTGTTGCGGTTATTGCATGTGGGTCAAGCCTCGGCATCGTTTAAATTCTAGCACTACTAGCACTACTTGAATTCTAGCACTTCCATATTGGAAGAAACCCCGATATAGAGCGGAAAAGAATTGAACAATTAGAAAAACCAAAATAGCAAAAATTGAAGAAAAAAAAAGCAATAAATTAAAGTTTATAGTTAAGATGAAGAGCAAAAAACCTTGGCATAATAATACTAAAGGCTCAGCAAAAAAATGAATATTCCAAAGTACTGTCAATGTGTAGGGCAGCTATGGAGATAGATTATTATATTGACTGGTCAGAAGGTGAAAAATTATTATATTGAAGATTTTTCGACCTAGTTTGAACATTCTTAGAAGAATTGCTCATTTAAAGCCTGCAATAATGTGTTGTGAAGAAAAGTTTCGCAAAAGAATTGAACAAAAGCCTTATCTGTTTCTTTTCATATTGATTGAATGAAGTGAATGGAAAAGAAGATAAAGGGCCAGCTCGGCTTGGTTTCACTTTTCGTAGCCAATTTCAGTGTAAAGGCTTTGATTCTGGCCAAAAGCACCATTCTTCAGCATGAAAATCCTCAGTAGATGAGTGGTGTGCAGGATTTTAATCAAATCTGATCGATTTTATAGAAAGAGACGATAAAGTTCCAAAAATCAGAGCCGCTTATTACTCGTCAAATGAAAAACTGAACTCAAAATAGAATTGTATTAAAGTGTCGGGAATTCAAACTGGAGATCTAAATAGTATTTAAGTAATGCTTCGCTTCACTCTATTCCCATATTGATTGATTCTGGTTTTGGGAGAATGGAGAGAGATATGATAAAAATAAACTGAATCCTATTAGTTTATTCAATACTTTATTGGTGTACATGTTACGTCCGAATCTGAGGAGACGTCCATCTCCGATCCGGACGTCCGAATCTGAGGAGATTCATTCTCCTCAGATTCGGACGTCCGACTCAGAGATGGACGTCCGACTCAGAGATGGACGTCCGACTCAGAGATGGACGTCCGACTCAGAGATGGACGTCCGACTCAGAGATGGACGTCCGACTCAGATCCGGACGTCCGAATCTGAGGAGAATAATCATTCTTCTCGGAATCGGACGTCCGATCTTGAGAACAAATAGTTTAAATGCAAATCTAATGTTTTGAACAAAACAAATGAAAAAGGAAGTTAAAATGGAAATTCTCTCAATTTACTTTTTTTTCTTCACAAATAATTTGGTAATATGTGCGGTTTGGCAATTTGGCAAGATGTTTTATTTTTTTTCTTTTATCTATACATTTTAACTATGTTTTTAACTATATGTTCCTTTTTTAGTTTGTGAATGACGGGCTTCGATGAGCAACTCGGGCAACGAAGTTGTTTCCCAAACACTGAAAAGTACAAAAAGATGATCGAGCTGTTGCAATCAGAAAGCAATTGGAGATCAAAAGCGGAGCAAAATCTTCACCGACGAGATTCTCTATTCAACGAAAACGGGACTTCAATTCTGCTGCATCATGGCGATGGAGCAAAGAGGACGAAGGGGACAAAAGTCATCAAACGAGAGGATCTCTATGAATTGCTTCGACAAAAACACCAATCTCTCGGACACGCTGGTATTGGGATAATGTGGAAAGCTCTTCGAAGTTATTTCGGGATTTCAAAGGACATTTTGAAGATTTTCGTGGATCAATGCGAGGAATGTCAATTGAAAAAGAAGCTGCCGAAAAAGGGGATCGTATTGAAGCCAATCATTTCTCGCCATCAAAACCAACGATGCCAACTCGATTTAATTGATATGCAAAGTGTTCCCGATGGCGACTACAAATTCATCTTAGTTTATCAGGTAAATTGTTTTTCTTATTCTTTAAATGTTGGTTTTAAAATCAATTTTTTTAAATTTAGGACCATCTGACGAAATTCGTGTCGCTTAGGGCGCTGAAAACAAAAACAGCAATGGAAGTGGCAGAACACGTAGTTTCCATTTTCGGGACCTTCGGGTCGCCACGGATTCTTCAAACTGGTAAGCGGTTTTTAAAAATAATAATAGTTACTATTGTGCCTACAACCTCTATTTTTCTGTTTTAGATAACGGACGAGAGTTTGCAAACAAACATCTCGAAGATACGGTCACCCAATGGCCAGGATGCAAAATTGTACACGGAAAGCCGCGCCATTTACAATCGCAAGGCAGCGTCGAGCGGGCAAATGCAGATATAGAGGTATTTTGGATTGTTTATCTGGTCATTCAGGTCATTATGGTGTTTTAGGATATCATAAGCGCCCATCAAAGAGAGAATAAAACAATTGAATGGGTTAGATTCTTGCCGCTTCATCAATACACGAAGAACATTAGGTAACTTTTGAAATTTTATGAAAAATTAAGTTTTGAAATAGGTTTCATTCTGGTATTAACCGTTCTCCTTATGCAGCAATGTTTGGTCAAGAGCCCGAAGACGATGCAACAATTGTTAACGATGAGGTGAAGTATTTTTTTATTCGCATCGCATCATCGGACCTTGTCGTTTTTAAAGAAACTGTTTGGTATTTGGTTGTTTGAGGCGTACTCAATTAGAAAATGAATTTGGGTGAAAGACTTAGTACTCAACCTAATATTTATGTTTAGAGCAATTTCGTCTTTTAGATTGCTCCAACATCCGAAGATGATGCACTAGAGCAAACAATAAACGCCGCAGAGAACATATTAGTGGTTTTTTTATATTTGTACTTACTTTTATTTGCGATTTTAGGAAGGTAATTCGACTCGTTACACGGATCTAAGCTTTACGGATTCGATAGAGGAAAATGTTGAGGTATAATTCAAGCTTCAAATAAACATGTCTCTTCTGTTTAGGAAGTATCTGCGGTTGGTGAAGCCGATTTTCAACTTACACTTGGAGCAATACTTGGTCTGTTTTTGAAAATTTTAATTGGATTTTGTTTAATTTTAGGCGGACAAATTGTTGAGGAGCGTGTGGAAATCGATCGCCGACACGATTCGATTCTAATGGAAAGACAGGGAGCCCGGTCTGCTCAGGAGAAACAAGCACGAAAGATGCTTCAAGCCAGTGAATTAAGGTACTTTTGGAATTTTAACTTTTCATTAAGATTATTTTTATATTTTGCCCAATTGATGTTGGACAAAACGTGGTGCTGCCGATTCCAAATGTCGATCGCCCCAAGATCGGCCCTCGAAACTTGCTCGGAGTCGTTACAGGTAATTGTTACAAGTTATTTGCATTGTGTAAAAGAATTTTTAGGCGTTAATGACGGTTTCTACTCCATCGGCACACAAGATGGTCATCTTCGTCAGATGTTCACTAGGAATCAAATGGCTCCCTGCAACAACAATTTCATCTCCATCGATTCGATCCCAGACAAGGAGACAACAGTGAGAACAGCCGTTGGAGCAGCATCAATCACAGGGAGTCAAGGTAAGTAATTTTTATTAATTCTTAAATGGGTTTGAGAGTTTGTAAATGTTTTTATTTGACTCAATTCTTTGCATTTAGGTCACAGCCATTGCATGTGCTTGAGCGGATGCACAACGAATCGGTGCGCCTGTCGCAGGAAGGACTTGCTCTGCAATTCGAGATGCCACCATTCGAAAAGCTGTACTAACAAGTAATTATTGTCTCTTTTTTGTTTCAATTTTATTTTTAATGTCAATGGTCTATGCAACTATTAATTTTCGTTGTTGTTTTTTGTTTGTTATGTTATGTTTGTTATAAAGGTTAACGGCACTTTAGTAGAACTTGAAAAAGCACAATCACATCAATTTTACCATTGAATTTGAAAGAAAAAGGAAAATTTGAATCTGAATATATGTGTTTTGTTCAAAACATTGGATTTTGCATTTAAACTATTTGTCCTCAAGATCGGACGTCCGATTCCGAGAAGAATGATCATTCTCCTCAGATTCGGACGTCCGAATCAGAGTCGGACGTCCATCTCTGAGTCGGACGTCCATCTCTGAGTCGGACGTCCGAATCTGAGGAGAATGAATCTCCTCAGATTCGGACGTCCGGATCGGAGATGGACGTCTCCTCAGATTCGGACGTAACATACATATTTCATTTTATAAAGCGCTTTTCTTGCTGGAAGCTCAATCATTCACACAGATATGCTCAGTCAGAGTTAAATGTTTGAACCTAGCTAATCTTAACTACACTATGGCTAGATTTAAGCATATAGGTAGATGACTAAAAACAAACAGGCCTAAAAAGTCTCTGCTATATACAGGGTGCCTAATAAGTATTGTCCCGTATTATTTCTCGAGGTTAGTTCCAAATCTCACAAGCAAGATACAAAAATGTTGCTAAGAGTCCAGGGAATCTAAATATATGCATGGCTCGTATTTGGCTGGCTTTTCGACAGCCATTTTTTCTGGTTTTTTTAAGAAAGGAAAAATGAGAGCCAGAAAGAACATTACAGTTTTTTAAAATCGCTGCTTCGAGCCAAATTCCAAATCATTTCAGTAAGAAAACATTGAGGGTACCATTCTGAAGCAAAATTTAAAAAGTTAGCTGAATAAATAAAAATTCCATTTGTATGGGAAGCTTAAAATTGACCTCGGGCAAAGTGCAAAGTTTTTGAAAAACACAAGAATAAAAAAAATAAAATCTTTCACAGTCATTGTCTCAAAAAATCATGCAGTAACAAGTGTTGAAGCACGCGACAATACTTATTAGCCTTTCGAATTCGGCTTCGAAAGCCTTTTAAACTCTGTGTTTATAGTGTTTTCACAAAGCGAAGCTTGAGTCACAGTTTTATTTGAATTGTGAATTAGTGCGGCGTTATCGTGTGTATGGAAAGGCAAACACTTTTTAAATTCCTTCCCGATGAGCTAAATTCTTAAAAATTTTTAGTTACAATCTTTTTTGTTTGCGTGATCCTAAAGTGATAATGATTATCTAGAATATTTTTCTAGCTAAAATGGAAAAAATAGCTCTGGAAGTAATTTTAAATGATCCAAATAGTTGAAGCATTCGATTTGCTGATTTCATGGAAAAGCTACTTTACCATATGCAATGTTATTTTGGATTACCCTGTGAACATCATTTATTCTTGCCAACATTTTTCGCGAGCTTGCACTCTTTTCAAACAAAATTACATCAGTTTTTTCCCTCTTGGTTCAGCTATAGCTGGTCAAATCAAATCAAATGATCAGATCAAATCATAGCTTACACTAAGCGCAACAAACTAGGCTCCTCTTGTTGGGAATAACCTAGAGGGTACACATTAGACATGACAATCGGACCGGACCACATCAATCCGATCTGATCCGACGGAGCCGACCCATCGAACTAGTCCGATCCGATCCGCTAGTCATGATTATTTGGCTTGTAACTGTCCTTGTTTTCCTATTAACCTAAGCCATTGACCAATCTGGAAAAGTCTGATCGTCATGTCTGGTATTCAGGGTGTTTCAAAAAAAGGGCTTAACTTTGTCGCCTTGAAAGATTTGGACACCCTTAGAAAATTAATCATGAAAATTTGTTTCTCTAGGTCAGTCTTGCTTTCTACAGGACACAAAAGTAGGCGCGTAGGTAATGCATCTTGATATCAATATTCATTTTCCATGGATTAAACCAATCCATTTATATAAATCATTGAATATTTACTTTGAAAACAATTCATTGATCAACTGATAAGCAAAAATTTTAAATTAATTAAAATCTGTGAAACGTTTGGAATTCAAGGTATACAAAGGCCGATGTTTGTTGAAATTTCTTAAGAATTTCCGCATTATAATTGAAAAAGAAGGGACACTAAATTTGGGAATTATCTTTAATAATTTGTACGAAGAAATTCAAGTGATGAGGAAGATTTTTGAGAATTTCATTACAATTCAGATAAATGATTATGAAAGAATCATCCTGGAATCTCTTCGTTGGAATTAAAATTTCACTCCGAATACCAATTCTGCTACGATGCTTTTGTCAAATCTTGAATGAAATCATTGAAAGTATGGCATCTCATAACAGAAGATCATCTTGAAAAAGTTATCTATTCAATCGTTAAAAAGGGAATCTCGAGCAAGAAACTGAAAGTAATTTTTCATGTCGACAAATTGACTACCTCAACTACTCAGATGTGCAGAAATCTATAGAGTGGATTTCTGATATTCCTTTAGCTTCATAATCTCTAGCTTATATTGTGCTTTATGTGTCTAAATCTCTTCCACTTTCTCTATAAGATCTCTTTGTGTAGATAAATCAGTCTCAAGTCTATATTCTACCACTGAACTACCAGCGACGGAAAATACAGCTAATATGTAATTATTCTTATTTTCCACATCAGAGTTGTTATAACAAACTTGTAGATTAACAACTCAGAATCTAATAAAGAATCGAATGGCATCTTTGATTTCTTGATTTAGGCAACTTTTGGGCTTTATTCCAATTCCTTTCCACCTTCATTCTTTCATTATTGGATGGGATCAAGTTGGGATGAAGCTGAAGAGTTGCTTAAATTAAGAAATCAAAGACATCATTCGCTTCTTTGTTAAATTCTGAGTTATGAATCTACTCAACGATCAAATGCATTTGATGCATAGGTTTAATTTTATTTGAGTTCCATTTGTGATACAATTTATATACATAGATATGTTAATATGTGTATAAATTCCAAGCGCCTAGAATTTATACACAGATTTGTGTATAAATTACAGGCGGCTGAGACAAAACCACAGTAAACTATCAAGATTTTGACCCAATCCTGTCTCTGGAATGCTCTAATCACCTTGTATAAGCTTCAATATAACTTCTGGTTGGTAACCAAACAACACAATTCTTATTTACAACAACTTTATTAAAAAGAAAACAAGTGATAGGACTTGAATAAATTTTCGCAAAATTATTTTGTGAGAAAAATCGTTTATTTTTGTTTGTTTGGCCTGTTGAGCCGATCGCTCCTGGAAGAAAGCTTCAATTTTCTCGCAAACTTCTATCAGTGTAGATCCGTGTAGATTGCTGCCACGGGTATTCTTTTTTTGTGATTTTATTTGTTACCAATTAAAAGATGTCATAATATTTATTGTAAAATTTAAAAAAAACGGGTAAACATCAAAATACAAGGAAGGGATCTAACCCGGGAAAAAAAACTCGCTAGCTTGTTTCGGACTCTCATCAAGACTCTCATCCACTACACTGCAAGCTCACATCTCGGGAAAAAACAATATAACAATATACAGTGGTCCACAAAAGTATTGTCCCATTGCCATCCAAAAGTTTCTTTCGTACGAAAATCTTGCAAAATAACGAAATTCCCAAAAAGTGTAGGGCATTTTGCTTACCCATAATACTCTACTTTTCAAGATTATAAAATTTATCCGTATACATTGCAGAAAAATTAAAGTATAAAACAAAAACAATAAGTTACTTAACAAATAGCTCCACAAAAGTAATGTCCCATTTGCAAAGAATTAACAATTTTTTCAAAAAATTAATATTTGCTTGGTCCTCCTTTCGCTTTTATCGCTTCATTGAGTCGATCCGGCATGGAATCCACGAGATTTTTCAAAAGACTTAGGCGGATGGTGGCCCAAAGACGTTGAATGTGAACCCATAACGCGGCCTTCGAGTCGAATTTCTTTCCCTTGAGGCGCGACTTCACAAATGATCACAAATGTACAATTGGATCGAGATCCGGTGAGTAGGGAGGTGGATTGATCAATTTAACACGATTTTCCGCAAACCATCCGGGCAGACGAGCTCTGGGACAATTTTGAAGTGTTACCAACCGTCCCATCATCAGTCTCGACTTGTGTTTCGGGTCGTTGTCCTGGTGAAGCATCCATCCGGGAGGCATCGTTTGATTGGCAAAGGGAAGCATTTGGGTCTCCATAATATTCTTGTAAGCCACAGCATCCATCGTCGAGTTCACGTAGACTAACGGACCTACTGAAGTTCGAGACATCGCTCCTAAAGAAAAAAATTTAGGTAACAAAATACTAAAAAGGTTCTTACCCCAACACATTATGTTTCCGCCGTTGAATTTCACGGTAGGCCGAATGTACTTGAGTGTGTATTGCTTTCCAGTTGGCCGCCGAATAAGATGGTTTCCGTCCGCGTGAAATAAATTGATTTTTGTCTCATCGGCAAATAGCACTTTCGCCCAATCACTTATTGTCCAACTTCGGTAGGTCCGTACAAAATCAAGGAGCTGCTTCCGGTGCTTAGAATTCATCAGAGGTTTACGGGCAGCCCTTCTTACATATAATCCAGCTTGATTTAATCGTTGTCCGATCGTTTCCGGCGATACAACCTTGTTAAATTGATCCCTCATCATTTGGCTTCCATCGGTTGATGTTTTGTTCGGATCGTTTTTCACCATTTGGATCACGGCTCGATCTTCTTTTATGGTTGTGATTGGTCCTCGGCCACTCTTGAGGCCTCGATGAAGGTTTTTGCCGGCTTTTGATTGAGAAAAAATGCGGCGTACTGTCCATATCGAGCAATTGAAGAGGTTGGTCACATCCTTCTCTCGCATTCCATTTTCCCGGGCCTTAGCGATTTGGAGTGTCAAGGTT